TATCCAGTTTGTATTAAGTGCCCTGTTAAATACCTACCCTTTAAAAGCAGGCAAGCATACAGGACTATAACCTTCATCCGTGATGTTGACTTAATTGACGCGGATTTAATTAATGCGTAACTTTTAACCTCGTTGTCTGGTTTGCTACCCTCGATTTAACATTCCATATTATCTCGGTTGATAACCAAATGTTGGAAGGAATTTAATATTAAATGAACAATGCGTATCTAATGCTACCAGGCAGGCAATTTAATCCATCTCTAACGCCTCGATCGCGATGAATGCAGAACGCATTATCTTATACAACAGCTCACAATAAAAAGCGTTAGTATCTTACATTACGAAAGAGATGGGGAGGATTAAATTAAGTTCCCAGTAGAGCGCAAATGTGTGGTTGTCCACGTTTCCACCATCGAAAAAGCGCTTGGAATTTCGTTTAAATTAGTATACACATTTTCCAGAATGTATCTTCACTAGACATACCCACTTATCACTATCCACCCCTAATGTTTCATTGTGAAGGGTAATAATGCAATAAATGGACGGCCGAAGCTCGTAGAAAAATAAAGAGTAGGAACAACGTTCGGAAATGCCTTAATGAATAGCATAAATAAAACCGATTAGTTCGTTTTGTACTTAGTTAAACATGAATACCGTCTGTCTGCTTTTCGAGGCGTCAACGACGCCGGCTAATGAGAAAAAAACTCGGAAGCTTCGTACTTTACTACTTCCTTCTTGCTTTGTATTGTTACACTATGAAAGTTTCTTAGATAAAGTGAGATGGATTTGAAGGTAATTAATTAAGCAATCCTAGGAGGTTGCATTTTGTTATTTATCTTACTTTACCTCCTTTTATTTGGCTTGTATATTGTGTCTAGAGATACTAAGTGAATTTAGTAGCTGAAAAAAGGCCGATTCAATAAATACCCCTAAATGATTAAGTTATATTTTTATGAGTAAACAAACTCTCAGGGCCCACGCACAAACACATCAACATGATACGCGAGGAAAGGGCAACTTTTACCAAACAAAGGGAAATTACTCGCCCTACAAAAAGTCCCCTCTGTGTATTCCATAACGGACTTTTTCAACCTGCTGCCTGGAAATTTAAAATAAACAAGCTCAATTTGAGTTTTTCGAACACAAGTAAAAACACTTGAAAACTGTTTCTATGCCATCAACGAATACGTGGAAGCATGTAATATGTTAATATTTAATGTACTATATATTTTACATATTACATGATATGTTACATATTTATTGTACCTATCTTAGTACGCCGATGGAAAGCAGATAAATACAAATACAAAGATTTTAGAGATATTTAAAAGGACCCGTTTGATCTCCAGCACTACGCAAAGCTTGTCACTTATTTAGCGTCGTCTTGGGGTGTAAATCCTGCCGTCGAAGTGTATTTTAATGTCAAAGCGTGAAAAATTCCTTTGCCCCTCGTGAAAACGTTCTTAAATTCTAGTGCCACTTCAAAGGATACGCATACGTTTCAAGCAAGACCCAAAAATCATTCATTTTGCGGCCGTCGGAGGGAGTAAAACGCCATCTGGATTATTAATTAAACGGTTCATTTAGGATTCCTGACAAAGAGTACGAGAATACGCATGATGATCCAAAAAATTGTAATTCATTTTGCGGCAGTCAGAGAGGGTGAAACAGGGGTTGCAATTACTAACAGTTTTTAGATGAAATTAATCTCCAATGTTATCAGAAACCTTGTCATTTCTTTAGGGCCGTCCTTGAAGGTGTATTTAGATTTCGAAACGTAAAAATTCCTTTAACCTCTAAAGTCTTATAATGGAATGTATCGGGCATAATTAATTCCATCAATTACAAATAAATAATTTTTATTCCTATAATACAGGAAATTTGTACTCAAACGGGCTTCTAGTAGGAAAGTCTGGTGTAGTTTTGATTTCTTTAATTTGATATGTTTTTTTGGGGTGCTGAATTCGAATCTGAAGTTTGCTAATAACATTTGATGACGCAACATGAAGAAATATACAAAAAAAGATGAAAAATATATTTTTTTGACAGTTTTGGGCTTACAACTCGATAACTATCGACTTTTCGAAAATATCCTTCTATTCGAAATTTCCTACAGATTTCACTATTTACTTTTTTCCTTCGATGAACCGTTCGGGCTCAAGCGCGAGTTATAAATGCAATTTAACTGGATTATTAAGCGTAATGAAATCTTTGTATGTAGGTGTTATCAGTTAGCAGTTAACAGTTAACAATTTTACTGTCAAACATGTTGGTTTTTATTTTGAAACTAGATGGAGGGCGGGCGAAACTTGCACGCAGCCTGCTTTGATTATTTCATCAAATGTCGACGTTTTAGGTAAATTTAAGCAACTTAATTGTGAAGCATAAATTTTCCGAGGTTCGACGGTTTTTGTTCAAATTTTGGATATCTACATTAGGCATACTGAAACGAAAAGTAACGAGCCGGATTTTTGAAAAAAAAAATTGGGAGCCCCACAACGGCATCGAACTTTTTTTTCAAATAGCAATCTAAAATTTTTATTAAGTTATTAGATATACATTATTTTTCTGTGTATATACAACCTATAAAAATTGTACCAGGTTAAAAAACTAAAAAAAAATTTTCTCCAAAACGGTTACTATGATTTCGTTAAAATTTTACGAATGTACATTAGGCTTTATAAAGGATGTAAAACTGTCAAACACTTTTTTTTAATATCTAAGATTTTAGCGTCGTAACGTTTTTTTCAAATATCAATTAAGGCAATATTTGTATTCAATTGTTCGAAAAGCTTTCTTTTGTGTGTACAACAAAATTATGTTACGTTTGATTATTAAAAAAATGGAGAAAAAAATGTGAAAGTTAAAAAACTATCTAGCAGCTTTGTGCGCGGTAGATATCTGGGATCAGCAATTGCAGAAGTTCGGTCGTTGCATTCATGTTGGTTTTAATCAATCAATGACAATAGTAATATTTACATACGATTGTAATGTATTGCATGTATTTATTTCTACTCCTCGAATAAATATCTTATCTTATCTTATCTTATCAATACCTATGTTAAAATATCAGTGTACATGTATATACAGGGTGCTCATTATGTATAGAATATAGTATATATCTCGGTAAATATCGAATGTACACAACATTTTTCTATATGAAAATTGTTTAACAGTTTATTTCCCAGGCAGCATTCAGTTGTTATATTTCATAAAACAAATGAGTGACGAAAAATAATTGAATATTTTTAAATGGCAGTGCACCTTTCATTATGCTCATTTAATAGAGATTTTTTCCCTTTTCGATGATATAACATGTTAGTACACATATTCAAGAAAATTTTTCCTATCCTATAACCTATCACAAAAAGCTTGGAATAAAAATTGATTTCTTCTACACGGGTGTTGACGTGTTCCGTCATTACAAAGAGAACAAAAATCTTATCAAATGATCCTAATGAAAGTAGGCATTGCTATTTAAAAAAATTCAATTGTTTTTCTTTATTCATTTATTTTCTGAAATAAAAACAATCGAATGCTGCCTTGTAATGGGGAATAAAACGTTAAATAACTTTCATATAAAAAATTTTTGTATACAGTCGATATTTACCGAGATATATTCCATACTATAATAGGCACCCTGTATACTTCATTTTATATAATGATTAATTAATATCACAGACTTAAATACTAAAATCTGTGTTAAACAATATTTTTCGACTCTTAACATTTTCGGGTGCTTTTAACGTATACTTCAATTTTTCCAACTTCGTCGCATTCTTTAGCTTCTGGAGGTTCTTGGGAACCTTCAAATACGAATGATATTTCGAATTTATTAGATTATTCGTATTCTGCAGACTCTTTCTTTCTAAACTTAAAGATGTTTCCGTTTTTACTCATGTCGGAAGGCGCTATTATGACCACTGCCTAATGTCATCTTTTCTATTTTTTTGAAATTTTAACCACAGATGCTTCTAGTAAAGACAAGCATATCGCATATTGTTAAAATAAGAAGTGCGCATGCGCAAAAATGTCAACTTTGTTATTTGTAGAGATATTTGTTTTTATCACAAAACGACCGAATAGCACTTAAATGCTCTCTCGACCAGATGCTTAATATTCTAAGGCACCATTTTTACATCTTATAATTTAAATACATAAAGTTACAGGAAGGATAAAATAAGCAATTAAAAACACAGCTAAAATCGACAAATAGACATTAAAATAACAAATTCCACTAAAATAAACGAATTCCGTGCTTATTTGTAATCCATCTGGCGTTATTCATACAACAATATATCCAATGATCACAGTTCAACTTAGCGCTCTCCAATGTATATATGCCCTGGTATATGCATATAGATAACCAAATTAGGAGTAACATTAATTTTCGCCGGTTTTCAAAAGTAGCTAGTTCCCACTCCTGATGCCGGGATGAAGTAGTCCGCCGAGAAAAAAGTTTTGCCCAGAATATCACCGTAAATAACGACAGTAACAGAACTTCATACTAAAACTTCAGTAAAGTACAAACGCAAAGTAATTAATATAAAGTTTGTAATTATTTTACCCCAGCATCACAAAGTTGACACACAACTCGAAAAGCTTCCTCCCATTTATTACATGTTTTCACAATTAATTACGCGATCTAATTCGACGTTTACTAAAATATATTTGCATAAGCATAATAACAAAATCCCCTAAAATATCACATGAAGTGCTCATATAAAACCGTGAAAGTTGGGGTTATAAATTATTCCTTAGTCAAATAAGCGAAATGTAGGAAAAATGGAAACATCATAAATTATGTACTATTAAAGCGGGCTTATTACTGTAACGTAAAACGAAAAGAGGCCTCAGAGACTTAAGCTGGCAAATGAAAACCTCTATGTACCGAATTCGCTTACACATCTACCTTTTTGTTTAGGAAAAAGCGAATTTGCGGCGAAATACCTTTATTTACAAATTTTATCTAATACTACTCAAAAAGGACTACCTGTAACATTTAGGGGTTGTTTTATAACAAAGCGCAACTCCCTAATTAACAGCTTGGATAACGCCCAGCAGACTTAATCGCTTTTAACTTTCCTCAGATAAAGTTTTTCGACCATTAGCATTGGAGACTCCACTGTGAACGTCAGAAAAACAGCAGCAACTTGCGTTAGCACCCATGTGCCACAAAAAAGGTAAATCTGCAATCCGAGTTATACAAATCGGGTGAGAAGTACGTGATATACCGCCTCGTGATGGCTTGCATAGAGCTCTGTTTGTTTATTTCCGTTGGCTGTAATAATGAATATGCAGTGGAGCAAGTAGCCGCAGTACGTCAGTTTCGAAAGTACCTTAAAAATGGGCAGCGATAAAACCGTGTTGACTATTCCTAAAATTTCAGATTAGTTTCAGTTGCCAGTTTCCGTACAATAGTCTTCTATAGAATAGTTTACCAGATTTTTACGACATCTGTAACTACTCTTGAATGATATTAAAAGCTCCAACAAACGCAAACGAAACCATAATGAATAAGCTGCTGCTCTTGGTGCCTTTCATATTGTAGCTTACTGTAGACTTCCATTAACTACCACGGCTATACGACAATACGACTTTTTGTTTAACAATTTTATAAAACATTTGCTACCCCTGCACAAAGGAAAGTATAAAGTTAACAGGATATGATGTGGTAATGTAGATTATTGGGGAAATAGTTCCAAACTATTTTTGGATATGAACTGCTTCCTAATTAATTGCGACATTGATAACTTGATAATTTAATAGAAGATAATTAAGTTGTAACCTAACAACAAGAGTAAGTTGCATTATTAGTCTATTAATTGTTGTGGTACTTGTACTTCTGTTTTGCTAAATTGCAAGTTTCAAATTAATTGCGGTTTTGACAACTCCTTAATTAAATGAAAATCGGTGGGAGATGCTCCCTCCCTACTCATAAATCTGTATTTTTTTTTAACTTTGGAGGGTTTGAGTAGTTTGGGCATCTCATATCATAGACAGTTTACAGGGTGTCGAAATCTAGAGGGTCGATTTTCTAATAATTTGTAGTTCTTTTGGAATTGTAAAGAAAGATTCACAAGCTGTGGTGGATTTGAAGCTTGTCTTTTCTGCGGCACTTGATTTCCATAGAATATTGTTTTTAATGGCTTTCGGAAACCTCGGCGACGAGATGTCGAGGATTTGTATTATGTTCAGTTATCCTAATTAGGCATTAGATCATTCTCTGGATAGTGAGAAGACGAATCAGCGGAATTTCTGTGCGGAAAAACAACCTTTTTCTCCTGTGCTTTAGTGGGGAAACCGATTCCAATTGGTATATTTAAGCAATGGTTGACTCTTTTACCAGAAGGAGGCTTCCATGGTCATGGTCATTAAGATGATATTTAAGCAAATGCATATTCTGCGTATTTCAGTTCAGTTCTTACCTCGATGCGTTCTTGTTATGTTATAAATTGTAAGTGATAAATTGTAATTACCGTTATAAATTAATCCATTTTAAGACTGTTGTAAATTTATTGTTTACTAATTGTGGATGACGACGTACCTAATTAAATTTACGTTACAGTACTAAACAATCTGTCCTAGAAAATTCGAATCAAGATTAGAGCCGCCATTTTAGGTCAAGTGTAATTAATTGCGCCGGAGTTTGTTGTTTCGACAATCGAATATTGTGCAAGGTCTCGCAGTGGAATTTCGTCGTTATTGAAACAATATAAAAAAAAATAAAAAATAAATAAATAAATAAAAGTAAGGCATTGGAGTAGAGATTTTTTTTTTGAACTCAACTAGACACTCTTTTGGACAAGCGCATTTTACAAATTTCGGTATCACAGAATTAGCTATGAAATTTGCCAACCACACACTTATATATGCGAAACGATTTCGCCGGACGTTTGAAGACATTAAAATAGTAAACTATTTCAAACCTACAAACAGACGGACGGGCAGAAAGTTCAAATGCCCAAAATTTAATCAATGACTCCCTTGACCATTGTCTACTTATTACTGAAAACAGAAATGGAAATTTCAAAAGATTTATTAACGAGCTTCTAAAGCGTATTCAGGTTTTGAACTTTCTTTCCCTCCGTCCGTCTGTCTGTGAACATGATAATTCGCGGTTGGGAATTTCCCAATTCTGTTTCTAGTATTATGTTTATTATCACCCAAGGAAGAACTGATTAAATTTTCAGTGGACCTGGAACTCGCTTTACTGAACACCCGGTATCGAGTTTGTCGCTTCGTTACTGAAGAGTACCGGAATTTAATTATTTGCTCGAGGAGTAAGTTTTCTGTGTTTACATTTTGTATAGGTAATTGTTTATTTTGTATCGCCGATGTAAATAAAATTCCAATTGGCAATAGGTGTTGATTAGATTGGTGAGTGTTGAGGATTGAGGCGCATGGTTGATGAATGACGTTCTAATAAGTTGTAGAAAAAACCGGCAGACGGCGTTCAAAGTTATTTCAAAATGATCGCGCTTAAAAGACTAGTTCGATACCCATCCTATATTTTTCCGATAATTGCAGGCCGAGTGGTTGATTGGGGACCGGGTTGTTTTGCATGAATGCCGTGAGGAGCTGGAAATTTCCTGTTCCTCTTCCACCAAATGAGATTTTCTTTAAAAGGTAAACGCTCAATATTGGAGGGATTTTTTGCCATTTTTGCGTGCCGTAAATTAGAGTTATTTTTTGCCTTTTTACCACGTGTATGTTTTGTAAGTACCTCCATTTTCCGAAATTTTCTTGACTTTTGAAATTAATTCCACCGTATCTCTTCTGCGCCTTAAGTTACCAGTATTCATTGAAATTCGCTGTAGGAAATTTTTTCTACCGCTTGATTCAAAATTAAAGTAAGCTTTTCTTTAATTACAAAGAGGAGGGGCGAGGGGGTGAGAATTTTGCATACGTTTTCCCGAAATTATCTGCCATAGAAACCGCTCTGTAACTGTGCCTAATTTTTTTCCTCTAGAAAATTGTTATAGTGGAAGTGATTAAATACCGGAAACTCGAGTTGAAAAAACCTAACCTAACCTAACCTAACCTAACTTAAGCAAGGCCTTTTCTTATTAAAAATGTCTACCGTCCGAACAGACACCAAAAATTTGTTCATCTTATTTATCAAATCCTTTTTGTTGGTCATCTAATTCTGTCAATGAAGAAATACAAGTTTCGTTAAATAGAAGCTGTTGGGGTACACTTACTTCTAAGAATAAACCTCGCACCTCCAGGTGTTGGCAATTACTTTTTGTAAAATAATGGCACCCCTGTGTCAAGAATTTAGGGGAAAATTTAGAAAAACTTGATTATAACTTATTTCGATTTCACATGCATTGTAACCACGTGGGCATCAATGTAAAAGACTCAATTTAAAAGGGAATTTCTAACAAAATGACCCGAGTAATAATTTTACCACACAGAAATTACTCGTAGCTAGCAGGATATGGCATTTCCCTGCCCACGGCTAAAACTAAAACCTGACCTACGTAAGTTAGCTGAGTTTACCTCCGTATCCAATGTGACAGCTGTATATAACCCAAGCAACCGCAACCGCCCAGGCCGGCCTTCTCAAGCAATTTTCAATAGAGTTTTTGAACACGTTAACATTTTCAGACGTCTCCAGGTATCCCCAAGATAATTCGCACACGGCCGTCAGTATGCATGCCGTCCAACATAAGATAACTGACGTCTGAAAGTTAAGTTTACTTGGAGTAAGACATAAAATTACTTACACGACCCAAACGCGCTTTGCTCCACCTTCCGGTTGGCGAAATTGCGTATCCCAACATGAAACCGATAAACCAAGGGGATGCCCGGGTGTGAGTGGAATAGTAGTAGTACTTCATGTACGGTACGCTGAGGCGAGTAATTTTAGGTTACGATTAACTGCCCGGATATTACCTTGCCAGTGCGAGTTGCCCACGCCAAGTAATTGCGAAGCCTGCTCCCATAGAAGCCAAAGTCAGTAAGCCAGCTAGCACCATCGACGTTCGCGGGGATTTTGCCATGGGGACAATCAGAATTGGAGACAGTATGTATAGATGCATGTCCACAGCTAGGAACCAACTTGGCACAATGCACTAAATGGCAAAAGTGTGATTACCATACGACCAATGCACTACTAGTCACATACCATAGATAATGGATTTGCATAATTTTGCACATAGAAAAGTGTACTCCACCAATTCTCATTGCAGTTGGTTATATCAGCACCGGAGATAAGTGGCCACATTGGTCCATGGCTCATGTGACGTAAGAGAAAAATGTATATCAAACCGACAGCAATTAAACATGGGGTTAAGCTGAAACAATAACCTCTCAACAGAGCTGGGCAGAATACTTTCAAAAAGTATTTGAATACTAAATACCTTTACGTCCAGCACAACCGAATACTAGATACAGATACATTGAAAAGTATTCAAATACCTACTTTAAAAAATAAGTATTCAAATACTTTAGAATGTATTCGAATACTTTCAAAAGTATTCTAATACTATCAAAGGTATTCGAATACTATAAAAAGTATTCGAATACTTTGAAAAGTATTTCATTAACTTACTTTGAAAAGTATTCGAATACAGTAAAAAGTAATAGTTGTCACTCAATTACATTAAAAATTTAAAATAGTATACTAGATAAAAGTCTACTACTTAAAAAATCAAGTTATACTTTGTATGGGGTTAGCTTTTTTTATATTTCTATTGTTATATACAAATTTAAGGGGAGTAATAGCGTATTATTATTATTATATTATTATATAGGAGGTACCTACCAGGACCTTTCTTATACCAGTTATATCCTTAAGAATACGTGTACCAGTTTTCAAAGCGATCGTACGTCGTGCACATGATACGTACGCCTTTCTGAAATTAATCCTAGCGATTTTGGAACAGATCGATTTTTGACTATCCGTTTGTCCGTGTGCATGATAGTTTGTTTAGAAACGTGCGATCGCTTTGAAAATGGGTACACATGGTCTTAAGGATATAAGAAAGGTCCCTATTGTTTTTAAATTACGTAGACTATCGAGTGAAAAAGTTTCACTTCAGGATCGTTCGATATTCAGTTGTATCGGATTTTTATATTTGATTTTGTGACAATGGAAACTTTCCCTAAACATTTCTAAATTGTTCTCAAATATTTGAATAACTTAAAAGTAGTGCCTTCTTTTGAGGCCGGAAAAAAAGAATGTCTGAGATCGACTGGGAAAAAACATTTTCTTATAGAATTTGGCCCGTAGAATCCATAATTTAAAACAGTTTGAAGATTGGGCTACTACAAATTACAGCCCTTTGAATTTTTTTTCGAAATTTGTTTTTTGTCCATAACTTTGTATTGAGAGGTCTAATCGAAAAAGAACGAATTGTTTTCCCGAGAAATTTTGGTGCAGTCAATCCAATATTGGACTACTAGTTCAAAAGTTACATCCCTTTGAATTTTTTTCGACATTAGTTTCTAGTCCATAACTTTTGATTGAGAAGTCTGATCGAAAAAGTACGAATTGTTTTGGATTCTACGCACCAAAATTAATAAGAAACAGTGTTTTTCCGAGAAATTTTGGTGCAGTCGATTTTTGGTAAAAAAGGAAGGTTATTATACACTGCCTTTTTTTGAGGCCCGAAAAAAAAATTGTCTCAGATCGACCCGGAAAAAAAATTTTCTTATAGAATGTGGCCTGTAGAATCCATAATTTCAAACAGTTCCAAGATTGAACTACTTGTTCAAAAGTTACAGCCCTTTGAATTTTTTTTCGATATTGGTTTCTAGTCCATAACTTTTTATTGAGAGGTCTGATCGAAAAAGTACGAATTGTTTTGAAATCTACGCACCAAAATTAATAAGAAAAAGTCTTTTCCCGAGAAATTTTGGTGAAGTCGATTTTTGGTATAAAAGGAAGGTTATACACTGCCTTTTTTTGAGGCCCGAAAAAAAAATTGTCTCAGATCGACCCGGAAAAAAAATTTTCTTATAGAATGTGGCCTGTAGAATCCATAGTTTCAAACAGGTCCAAGATTGAGCTACAAGTTCAAAAGTTACAGCCCTTTGAATTTTTTTTCGACATTGGTTTCTAGTCCATAACTTTTGATTGAGAAGTCTGATCGAAAAAGTACGAATAGTTTTGGATTCTACGCACCAAAATTAATTAGAAAAAAAGTGTTTTCCCGAGAAATTTTGGGGTAGTCGATTTTTGGTAAAAAAGGAAGGTTAAGTATTCAAATACTATGCGAAGTATTCGAATACTTTACGAAGTATCCAAATACTTTGCGAAGTATTCGAATACTAAATATTTGTAAAAGTATTTGAGTTACAAATACAAATACTGCTAAAAGTATTTAATTACAAAGTATTTGAATACTTTAAAGGATTTGAATACTAAAAAGTATTTACAAAATCTAATACTGCCCAGCTCTGCCTCTCAATCTGAATCACACCAAAAACTACGTACCGTAGAATTCGGCGTAGATAAAAAACGGGTACACTAAACCTGTAGCCCTTGGTGAAATCGTTCATAGCACTGTAGGAGACCATTGCGCCTGATAACAAGAAGAAAGTGTCGACGTTCAATGTTGCCGCGCTGATAACCGATTGAAATTTTCCACTCAGCATCTACGATGATTGAGTAACGAAGCGAAGAAGCAATGGAATTACCTCAAAAATGTTAAAAGCGTTCCTTGTTGGGTTATCAATCATATACAAGTAGGTGTGTCCGCTTACAATTCCAAGGAAGCTCAGCACTCTAATGCCGTTTAAGCAGGAAATGTCGCCGGGGTTGTTTGTCATCTTGAAGATTATTTTTCCATTCCTTATCGCCGAAAAAGCACAAATTACCGAGTTTCTAATGGCTGGAGACATACACTGAAAGCTGGGGGAGAAAAACCGGCCATCTTACCTTTGCCTTGGTGACGTGCCGCGACATCAATTGCAGTTGAGATCACCACTAGCGAAATAGCACCGCCAAACATGAGCCTGTTGTGATTGACAGTAGTGATGTAGCTATGATTGTTATACATACAAGACAACGGTTCCTCCATCACCAAGTGGCGATTGCCCATCCTTTGTTTGGCACATTTCCTCTTTAAAGGTAGCGTTAACATTGGTTAGCAATTTCTCAATATCCATTGCCGAACATGTGTGCGGAATACAAATGGCCAATGCGAATTTCTCGCTGAATGACAGAAGGTTGTCCATTGTCGCAGCGATGTTCGCTGGTATTTCAGTTTCTCCCTAATAGAAAAGTGAACGGTTTTAATTCCCGTGGATTTTTACATACCGCGTAAACTTGCGAACACTTGGTATAGAGACCCGGACAAAACTTTCCATGTATCCTTCCCGACCCTATTTCTCGATTAATCGAAATGCACTCGTCCAGCGCACCTAAATCAAATAAGTTGGCTCGCAGAACTCCAGAGCGTATCTTCGAGGACGCATCTAGCACTACAAAATGCTACAAGTAGCAGTTGTGTCGGAAAATGTCGAGCTCACTTTTTAGAATCCATGGCTCGCGTTTTTCCAGAGCAGTAGCGGATACCTTTAAATCCCTGACACAGTTTCCCGTTATGTCGATTGCAGACAAATTGCCAGAAAATATCCTGGATAAATGCGCGCTTCCAAAGTCGGGGCCGATTTGGCATCTCATCAAGGGACACAGAAAAAGGCCGAAGAGGACAATCGCGCTATATTCACCCACCATGTCTAGTTCTGTTGGCCTACAACGCTAAATGTAGGGCAAACTAGACATTCAATAGGGCACGTAATACCTCGCAATAAAAGAGATGTGGTACAAAGGGGTGCCGCTGTTTACAGCTTAATCTCGCGGTTGTTAATAAATATGTATCTGGAACAGTATTTATTACACCTGCTGTACTAATAAATTGATAAATAACAAACGTAATTGTCAAGTTTCCGACCCTGGCAGCCTCACTTACAGATAATTCAAATTTTTAGAATTAAACGCCTGATAATCTTCCATAATTAAAGTAAGATTAAAGTTTCCAATGACTTACGTAACTGAAGCATGGAAGGATAGTAGTTTTTTAAGTTTACTGGGCGTTAACATTTCCATCTGCATCTAACATAAAGTGTCCCACTTAAATTCTTTTAACATACTTATAAGTAACACCCTGTACATCCTTGGGCATTAAAGGTGCTTTCGACAATGCATGGCCGCCTAGAATAGTATGGGAAATGCGAAGAAAGGGTCTAGCTGGAAAATTAATAGCACTAGCGAAACTTTTACCAGAACCAATTGGCAAAATTCTATGTCGCAGCGATCAAAAGAAAATTGAAAGAGATGACCATCAAGTTGTAGGGCACGAGATGGAAAACTGCAATAACAAGAAGAACAACTTTCGATTTTCTTCCATCGGTACAGGTTTGGTCCAGTATCCTTCCCAGGGGTCTATCTGTACCGGCTCCGAAAGCGGGAAAATCAATCTACTTGTCCAGGACTTCCTAAGACCTCATTCTTCGTGCCAGCTGCCTACTTTTTCCCTGGAATTCTGCACCTCCAAGCACCGTTTAACCGCGACCAGATCGTCAGGTCACCAGTCAGATGGCAGCCTAGGAAAGCAGTCTTTTCCTGCACTAGCTTTAGGTGTGTAGCCTTGTGGGAGGCGGCCAACCACCTCCTTCAACCACTCAAGGGAATGGCTGTTCTCGCATGAGGGAATTCAGGGTGACATTAGGTTAGAGTATGTATACTAGTTAGGTTAGGTGTGAAATCTTGTATCAAGAGAACATAATGTGAGAGGAGGTGATCAAAAGTTAGGATAAAGTATGAGTGAGGTTAGGTTAGAGTGCTCGTTAGGTTAGGTGAGAAATCTTGTATCAGGAGAATATAATGTGCGAGGAGATTGAATATTGAGCTAAAATATTAGCGAGGTTAGGAGTGATAGTTAGGTTAGGTCAAATTAGTTTGTCAAAATTTTAGACGCCTTAACTAATTTGACCTAACCTAACTAATATTTTATCCTAACCTTCAATCTCCTCGCACATTATATTCTCCTGATACAAGATTTTTGACCTAACCTAACTAATATTTTATCTTAACCTTCCATCTCTTCGCACATATTCTCCTGATACAAGTTTTGTAAAAGTTTGAGACGAAGTAAGGCGTTGAGATATTGCTGTGAAAGCTGGATTTACATCGTGAGCACAGTGTTGTTTAAAAACGTGATGAACGAGTGCGGTACGCACCCGGTGAACCATTTGATTGGCCCCTCATTGACCCCTAGACTTTGAAATTACTTCGACGCGTGTAGCGTGTGTGCGTGCGTATGTGTGTCCGCCAATTCAATTCTCAGCGTCCTTCTACGCCTTTCCCACCTCTCACACTGCGTGCCCTAAGTGTCTGTATGCCCGATGTTCGCACAGGTGTCGCCCCGTCGCCTTGTGAATCTGCAGGTAGGTCACTACTGGTGAAAACTATCACGTACTATACCGTAGGCCTGCATCGCTCAGCCCCCCCCCCCCCAAACTTTAAGGTGAATAGGCGCCCCTCCTGGCGAGAGACGATTCGTGTTATTCTCGTGCTTGCTGGAGGGCTCTCACAGAGGATTGGCAGACAACCAGCTCAAATTTGGACTAAGGTGACCAAATGATGCTGGTCAGGTATTCGTTTTGGACGTCGAAATAGAGTGGTGGAACTCGGTTGTCTATGCTGATATACCGTTTAGGGCAATTTTTCGAAAGAAAAAGAATTCCGTCTGTCCGTCTGTTCGTCGTCTACCTCGAGAACGAAAAGGGACAGGGATGTCAAACCTTCGCCGGATTAAAAGTCCAGTTTCCGAATGCGAGCTAAGTGCCAAAAATTATGCGAATCGTACGCGATTCTTTGTATCATGTTTTGACGCATACCGAGACCTTTTTTACTTAGTTTATCAAGCGTAATATTAAAGTAGTTATTTATTATTATCACACCATTGGCGTCCAATATCGTTAATTCAGGAGTTCAATTTGGAATTTGAAAGTTGTGCCAAAATTCTGTAAGTGATACATAAGTATACATATTCCATTGTTTGAAAGTGTTCTTAACTTACAACAAGTGTCACGTTACATTGTACGCGAATTGCCAAATAAAGTTCGCAGTTTATTAACTTTGGAGAACAGTAGAACTTGGAATTGTGTATTATTTTACTATACTTCCTTACTTCGCTACCAAAAATAATAAGTTTGAAGAAAACCAGTAACTTACAAGTGCAATTTATTTGTAGAGAGCGAAACTTTCGTATTCAATTGTCTGGGCAGGTTACCCAGTGTTATACGGCAAATCTATGAATTATTGCTAAAGGGCGTTTTTTTTTATTGAGTTGCTGTATGCATAGTAACAAGGGGGATGGAATGTGAACATGCCTGCGCAAGCACGACCGATGTCTGTTCTTTTTGGTAGAATTCGCTGATATTGGAAAATATTTACTAAATTTTCCTATCGATATTAGAAGCACAGCTTACTTAGTAAGTAAGCTGTGTTAGAAGTATGTAAATTTGTTTTATAATATAATCGTTAATTTGCGTACGTGGCTGGAAATCTGGGGCTTGCTCGTGTAGCATTTTAAACGATGTATTAAATCGCCTCTAAATTACGTTGTGTAGGTTTTCTCTCAGATTAGCGCATTAGGTGTCTCTTTCCAGGGTCGTATGTCAACAGATAGAATACCTAATTTACCTGTGGTATGTCAAAGGATCTAGGGAGGAGGTCTCCCTCTAGCCTATAGATTCAGTACTACGTCATAACATTTTATCTTCTCCTCACCGTCTTGGTCATTGTCGTTTAGTAATAGTAAAATTTTACAATTTTCTAATTTTCTCAATGAAAATCCTTTCCCCTATAATTTACATTATTAAACGAATTACACAAAAGCAATTTAATTTTTTGTAGCATCATGGAATTGTCGCCATAAGAAATACTATCGCCGATTTTGTAATTTTTTGCTCCATCGAATGTAAAAATTCAATATGGCGTCCATAAGATTTAAGAAAGTTTATGTGTAGTTACTCTAAAACGACAAATCATAAAAATTTTATTTTAGCAAAACCAGAAAGATAAGAAAAATCACTGTAGGTTTTTTAAAATTATTTTTTGGTAACTTGGAAAAGCAGCGTTCTCAAATATTGCTTCGTTATTTTTCGAGCTACAAAAAACTTGAACCCACTCTGTATTATAATGTTTTATTTTTTATGTTCTGTAAGACAAGAATTCTAGGGTCAAATTAGCCGCCCCCTATAATCCGCCGGCCTGCTCCAGCCTAGTCAGCCTGCTGGTAAATCAGCCACTGTGTTTCCGAAGCTCATACCTTACGTTTACTGGTGGCATCATGTTCTATTCTATTTTTTACGTTGTTAATAATTGAAGGAATTTTGCCTAGAACGTATTTTGGCCTACGTACAACCATAGTCTAATGCAAATATTATGGTACAACCAGAACTGGGCAGTATTCGATTTTGTAAATACTTTTTAGTATTCAAATCCTTTGAAGTATTCAAATACTTTGTAATTAAATACTTTTATGGAAGCAGTATTTGTATTTGTAACTCAAATACTTTCACAAATATTTAGTATTCAAATACTAATACAAGGTATTTGAATACTTTGAGAAGTATTCGAATACTTCGCATAGTATTTGAATACTTAACCTTCCTTTTTTACCCAAAATCGACTACTGTAACTTTTGAAGTAGTAGCCCAATCTAGGAACCGTTTGAAATTATGGATGGATTCTACAGGCCACATTCTATTAGAAAAATTTTTTTCCGGGTCGATCTGAGACAATTTTTTTTGAGGGCCTCAAAAAAAGGCAGTATGTAAATTCCGAGGAAAATTTGATGAGTTTGGTTAAACTGTTCTTCAAGTTTTGGTGTGGAATAATTGGGAGAACAACTATTTTTTTTGTGCATTCCACCAAAAATCGACTGCACCTAAATTTCTCGGGAAAACACTTTTTCTTATTAATTTTTGTGCGTAGAATCCAAAACAATTCGTACTTTTTCGATCAGACTGGTACACGTATTCTTAAGGATATAACTGGTATATGAAAGGTCCTGGTAGGTACATACCTCCTATATAATAATATAATAATAATATTACGCTTTTATTCCCCTTAAATTTGTATATAACAATAGAAATATAAAAAAAGCTAACCCCATACAAAGTATAACTTGATTTTTTAAGTAGTATTAAGACTTTTATCTAGTATACTATTTTAAATTTTTAATGTATTTGAGTGACAAGTATTTGAATACTTTTTACCGTATTCGAAACTTTTCAAAGTAAGTTAATGAAATACTTTTCAAAGTATTCGAATATATTCTAAAGTATTTGAATACTTATTTTTTTAAGTATTTTAATACTTTTCAATGTATCTGTATCTAGTATTCGCTTGTGCTGGACGTAAAATTATTTAGTATTCAAATACTTTTGATTTGTGTAAAGTATTTACTATTTAGTATTCAAATAGTTTTTGAAAGTATTTTGCCCAGCTCTGGGTACAACTAATAACAACTCAACGAAACCACAACGTAGCTTATCGCAAACCCAAATTTCGTTATAAATTTTGTCCCAAATCCGTCGAACAGTATAAATCTGAAATAAATAATGACTATATCTTAAAGTTGCGACCTAGATTTAACTAAAACTTATAAAAATACATGTGGTCATTTATTTTATTTAGGGTTTGTCTTGA